TTCTTCAATATTAACGAAAGGGGTACTGCGTTGTAATCGGGCTCTTGACGACATGAGGACAAAATAAATACATCTTATCCGAGTGAACGTATCACTGCTAAAGCTATCTGTTAGAACTCTTGGCATTTCTAGTCATCAAAAGGGTCAAATGCTATCCGTGGAGTCCTTGTGTGTAAAACTTGACCATGACCTGCTCTCGTCCTCCTTGTCCCAGAGTCCTTTTACCTTTAATGCTGCTATTTGTAATACCTTGATGAAGATCTAGCATAAATGTAGGTGGGACTGAGCATTGCTAAATAACTTCCTGTTGGGGTCTTAAATTCATGTTTGCATGCCATGTTATGCCCGTGATTTGCCTGGCATTTTGCCTCCTGTCCGCTGGACTGTTTTTTCCTTGTAGGTGGAAGACTCACAAATGGCGCAGGTGCCAGTCGGTCCCCTGGAGTGTGCAACAGGGAAGCCCGGGGGTCCAGGAAGGCTGTGGTCCTGGTCGACAGGCCAGAGGTGAGGGGCCCCATTCCACAGTTGATTGGTTTTCTGTCCCTTCAACATCGTTTGCTTGAGGAGTTTCACATTTACTCTATGCTTTGCAAACAGAACAGAGCAGGTATGAGTTGGTTACCACTGATTCGATAACATAATCACAATAATAAAATTCAGACGTTTTTCTTTTTAAATCCTGTCTTTTATTCTTTGCTGTTAGCTCATAACTCCTCTGGTTGAATTCTTCCTCAGACAAAGTCTTTGATATAGACAAAACACTCTAGTTCACTGTTTCTTATGTTTGGGGCCATTATAATCCCTAACATGTACCATTCTTACTGCCTTGTTGGGATTTATTATCTGTGTGGCCACAGGCATGGTACTGTAAGGGTGTTCACCCTCCCACAAGTTCCCTGAAATTGCTTGGATATGCACAACTCTGTTCATATTCAATACTGATTTTTCAATAGAGTTCTTTATTCAAAAACACATGATCTGCAATCTGTCTGTATTGCTAGAGCGCATGGAATCTGGAAGAACTAGTAGTAAAAATGTTTCAAACTTACTGTAATTATTTGCTAGATAGAATATTTAAAGAATGCCTAAATTAATTAACATGTGTTATTCATATGTGAAACAAATTCAGTCTTTATAGAGTGCATTTACTGTTTTGCTCATATTGGCTTTTAATACATAGTATCTGCTGTATATTTTCAATGATGTTTAATAAGTAACTGAACTTGGAACTGGTTGCTCTAATTCATAAAAACATGTTTGTTCCCTCATCTATACTTATGTACAAGTTTGATGATGAAACAAAGTTTGAACCAAAAGAGTAGAATTTCAGTTTTGTTGATGTGATCTGGAATATATTTTCTTTGCAATATAAGTCTTTTTTAGTTTGAGGGGAAAAATTGATTCTGTCTTGTAAAAATCTTGTATTTTTGACTTTCATATTAAAAGTCACCATTTAAAACAAAACTTAAACTATGATTTTTTTGGAATTTCATTTAATATGTCCACATTTTATCATACCTCCTCCACAATGATCTTTGAGGGAAAAAGTCTATCTTTACAATTATAGGAACTTAGCTATAGAAAATCTAAAATAATTCTGAGCATATCAAGTCAGTCAATGAGAAATTTTATGAGTTATAAAAGACATCCTAGTCATGCCAGCTTCCTGGTAAACAATCTGGGTCCTATATATAACTTGTAGTAAGAATGGTAACAATTTGCTCACCCCTTCACTTATTTTTTAGATTATTTAAATTAAAACTGTTTTTTAAAAAACAGAGTATTGAACCACATGATCTTTTAAGATTATTGTAGTGTTTACATTTGGAAGCAGTCCTGGTGACTGTATGGTTAAAGCATTCCGTTCTGGGTGGACAAACCAGGGGTTTTGAACCCACCAACTGCTTTGTAGGAGAAAGATGGGCTGTCTGCTGATGTCAAGGCATCCAAGAAGGGAAGAAGGTTTTGAAACGGATTGTGGTAGCAACTGTGCAATACTGCTTGATGTGAATAGACTATGGAATGATACGATATCTGTAATAACTCCCAATAAAGTGGCTCAGTGGGAAAAAAAAGAAGAAGAAGAAACCTAGGCAGCCCTATGAGACAGTTCTACCAGACATTCCTGTAAGATCGCTGTGAGTTGGAATTGACTCTGTGGCAATGGGTTTTGGTATTATAATCTATGCACAAGAAATTCCCAGAAAGTGAAATGAAATTAGGGAATTAGGTAAATTTTTATATACTACCATCGGAGGAAATTTGAGATGTAGCAGAATTAATAAAAGTAGGAAAACAACTTCAGTTCCCAGTTCTGTTACTTGCAAGCTCTACAACCTTGCTTGATGAATTTCTCTTGCTGAACCTGAGAGCAGAAAGATCTTCCGAGCGGGCTTGGACCATGTTGGGTCCTTGTCAGTGTTCACTTCTTTACCTGTCTTGAAATAGCATGGCTTCAGTGAATGTTCACATTGTCATATGCAGCATAAAAGCCACAATGTTAACAAGGTCCTTTTATTTCTTGACACATAAAACCCAGTGGCCACCAAGTTAATGGTCACTCATGATGGCCCCACGTGCATCAGAACAGACTGTGCTCCATGTGGTTTTCGGTGACCGATTTGTCTAAAGTCATTTGCCAGGTCTTTCATCCAAAGTGATTGTAGGTGAACTTGAATTTCCAGGCTGTCCACTTCCCATCCAGTACGTTCACTGCTTACACCGCCCTGGCCCTAAAATCATTCGTTAGGTGGTCACTGGCAACTTTCTCGTTGCCTCATCCACAAGCCTGTGCTCAATCCTGGTTCGCTGTGACCACCTGGTTGTACCTAACACTGGCGCACTCTCCTTTGTGCAAAGGATCTTCAGCATCCTCGAGGCTACGTTCTTACACCTCTCTTTTTGTTCCAGCCTCAGATTCCCTTATTGGTTCCTCTTAGTCGACCAGTTCTTAAGCACTGCTTTTTAATTTTGACATACTCCTCAAACTGCCTATTCCATCTTGCAATCCTATCCATTTTGAAGGTACCTCAGAATAGAATGTTAAATTTCACAAGTAATTTCTGAATGCATATACTCAAAATGATCCTTGTTAACCCTTTTTCTTTGTTAACTTATTTCTGCCTTAGATCCTATATTTCTACAAAATGGGGAAAATTCAGGGTGTAAAAATATCTTTTTCTAATGGAAATAAGTCATAATTTATCTCTTTGATGCCCATAAAAGTGTTAAAACTCTGTATGGTTGCCATGCCAAAAATGTACCATTTTCGTCTTTGTCTTCATCTGGCCATAAACTCAAAGATACAAACTTGTACTGTTTTTTAGTGATTACAATCATTGTGTGTTAGGGAATAGCATCAATCAGCAAGTACGGTAAGGCAGTTCCAGCCTGCACACCCTAATTTATCTGACTTCCTAATCCCAATCACTCATTCGTTCAGAAGACTGTGAAAAGAACCATGAGCGTCAGGGAAGGATGAAGTGCTTCAAACCAAGGAATGTTTAAGTCCTTAGGGAAATGAGCTCACCGTTAACATCATTCAAGTAAGAGTTATCGACTGAAACTGATCAATTGCAAAATCAGTCATTAAAAGCTAAACATTTGTTTATGAAAGACTTGAAGGATGAGATGGAGCTTGATTTGTGTTATAATACTAGAGAAAGCAAAGGTGAAGAAAAATACAGAATAAGTCCAAGGCTGTAAGAGCAGCATTGGAGCCCAACCCATCCACCGCCATTGAGTCAGCTGGGACGTGGAGCCTTCGCACTGTACAGAGTAGACCTGCCGAGAGGGCGTCCAGGCTATGAGCTTTCTAGCCTGAAACACAAGAACAATTCTGAAGAGGCCACGGGATTAGATAGGAGTTTGTTCTATTGTACAGGAGGCAAACCTGAGTTGGAATTGACCTGACAGTAACTGACAATAACAAGTCTTTAAGGAGGAATACTACTACAACGTTCTTCCATAGAGTGGTTGGTAGGTTCAAACTGCAGACCTTTCAATTAGTCGCCAAGCTCATAAGCCACTACACCGCCAAGCTTCAAGCATTTGAGATAAAACTAAAATAAAACATTCAATGTGTTCATAGAACAGTAGCTGATTAACACTCTGAAGATGTGAGCTGGAGTCCAGGGTGATGTTTGTGGAGGAGTGAAAATGCCTGCACTGGCATTTCAGACCTCGTTTTATATCTGATAGGAGCAGTGGCTTGATGAAAGCAGTGCTTTATCTGTCAGGATATACACACTGATTTGGAAAGGTGAGGCAGGTGAGCCTGGGTGCCAGCCAGCAGATAGAGATAGCAGTGTGAGGTTGCAGTAAGGGGCACATTCTGGAACCTCTGTAGTGGAAATAGTTAAAAAAATAAAGGTACTTTGGACATATGACAGGGGAACATTTTATGATTAGTGACATGCAAAAGAAGGATCAATAAAGGTGAAGTCAAATACTATGATATGATTCTTTAGCTTCCATATATTCAGCTCTTATTGTTGGGAGAATAGTTATAAAGTTGATCAAATGAGTTGTAATATTGTTTAAAGTTATCGGACCTGATAGGAAAGTGAAATTTGGAAGCATGTGCTTTGTATATTTTGCCTTTGAGGTGATGGCAAGGTAGCCCAGAATAAATATCCCAGTATGTATTTGGGAAAGTCAGAAATGTAACTGTAATGATAGTATGGTGCTACATATGTAAATTTGATTAAACCATCGAATAAAGTAACATCTCAGAGATATATTGCAAATAGAAAAAAAATGGCTATTACATTTTACCAAGAATGCATTTTTTCTAACCTGTTTGCTTTTGTAGACTCTTTAAATATGCATTTTGGCCTAAAGAAGTTCATAAAAATGCAATTATCTATAAGTTACCATCACCTGATTGGTCTTTGAAATGAAACTGTATGAATTATACTATAAGACAGCTAAGTGTACTATTCCATAATTCTAAAGAAAGGAATGCTTACTGTACTGCTTTTACCAGACCATTTGTCTAAAGCAGGAATTGGTGGACTGTGGTCTGTGGGTCAATTCCAGTCTGAGACCTCTCCTTGTAATTAAAATTCTACTGGGACACGCCATGCTCATTCATTTTGGTGTAGCCTGTGACTGCTTTCCTGTTGCCAGGCAAAGGAAAGTAGTTGCAACAGAGACCACATAGCCCACAAAGCTAAAAAAATACTACCAAATCTTTTAAGAGAAAAGGTGTGTCAGTCACTGTGTGAACTAAAGGCGTAGACTAAGTGAAAGAGTTGTAATTTCTAATTATTCTGAAGGATCATTACCCAGGAGAATCAGAAAATTTCTAGAGTTTATCTGATCATTTAGGAAGAAGTTTCCAAATTCCGTCCAGTATAAAAGGAGCTATTTTAGAATTATGAGAGTAGTGTTCTTTAAACACTGCTAATAGTAGCAAAATATTTGCCTTAATAATCGACTTCATATTCTTTGGGGGAATTTACAAATAAAATTTTGACTCAAATAGCTATAGAAGCAACAAT